TGCTTCATATTTCAAAATAAGCCTTATTTTGTTCTTAAATTCTTTTACAATTCTGATAATTCTTTCAGTTAAGATATATGACTCATAGTTATTATTTCTATTATTTGGATATTTAAAACCCTTTGTTTAATAACTGCTCAGGGTTTTGGAATGTCATGGCTGAGTGGCCTTGTATAATATTCTGTATCCTAAGAGTCTGAGACAAAAATCCAGGGCTAAATGATGAAACACTCTTCTTCCTACAGAATGGTTGAGGTGAAGGATATTGAATGTATGAGCCATCTATAATTCTGGGGAAAAAAAAAATGTATGAATTCTGTCAGTTAGAACTCATGCCATGGAGTGTTTATGAACTAAAAGAAGACTGTGTTCTTTCACAAGTGCTATGCCCTTGGACATATTTATTAACCACTCTGATTAGTTCCTCATCCCTAAAGAAAAGATAATAGAATTACATACCTCAAAATATTCCAGAATAATTGCTTTCAAGTCCATTTGCCACCACATCAGCAAAGAATCTGACAGTTTATGTATTTTAGCTTTGCCTAACAATTCTGATAGGATAACAGCAAAATGCCAAAACAAACAAGCAACGAGTCATTGTTGTCTTGGACCTTTAAGTGAGGAGCAAAATTATGTGTTTGAATAATAATGTTTGTATATTAACTGGAAGTGGGAAAGAATAGAGTTTAGTTTGGAATCAACGCAGTATTATTTTTTCTCATATAATCTATGTTATATGTGTAAAGATAAACTTAATAACTTCCCTTTGCCACAGGGTACCATGTTTCACCTCAGCATCTCAGTTGATAGGTTCTGCCAGTACAAATGTATAAAACACACCATGGAATGAATAAGTAGATAGATAAATTAATGAACATTTTTATATTGGTATTAGTAATATTAGCTGAAAAGATTATATTTTTCAGAGATGTTATGTGCTCGTGAAATATCACAAATTTGAGCTAGAAAATAGTTCTGAGCATTTACTGTAGTGTTTGCACAATAAGCTCTCAATGCCTATTGAGTAAATAGAAGAGAGACCTACTTGTCTAAACTACTGAACTAAAACTTAGAAGAAAAATGCAGAGAGCATTGACAAAGCTAAAAGATATTCTTGCCAGGAAGTTCTGTGTTCTATGAGGTGTTTGTAGATCAAGTAAGCATTATTTTCCTTATTAATTTTTAAATAGACATTTATATAGCCTTGAAATAAATGAAAATGCCTTCAGTTCTGCATATAAGAAACACTGAGAGGTAATCACATCTCTGTGTGAGATCAGGAGAGAATTCAGAAGTTTAGAGTACAAGGAGAAGTGTGTTCATTCCTGAAGATTTTTAATCAATAATGGAGAAGAAGTACAAATAAATTGAGAACTGGGTAGTTCAGAGTAAATAGGGATTTACTGTTCATACACTTAAATCTGTGTGTATGTTGTCATGTTTTGGATGTCAATAAGAGTATGATAATAAATTTAATTTGGCTGAAGATGATATAGTTTGAGTCTACTAAATATTCTTATGCATACAACAGTTTGACAGGAAAATCCAGCATGTAAAAATTGGCCACTCTTCTATTTTATAAAATTAAGAGTAACAAAAATAAGAATGTATTGCTTTATAAATTCTTGGGACACATTTTAGCTACTTTGAATACTATAACCACTAAGAAGATTTAAAAAGAAAAAGATAAAAACTGCATGATTGTGAATCCATTCATCATCTTCCTCAATTAGCAATATTTTTGCTATTAATTATAAAGTTCACAATAAGTCACTTAGGTAGAACACAGTGTAGGTTGGTGATTGTTTTGGCTTTTTTAATACTTGCTCTAATTATTTGGCCTTCATATGACTAAATATATGACTCAACCATAGAGTAGTTAATTTTCTGGCCTGGTGTGGACACAATGTCACTTTTTCTAGTGATAAAATAGACATAGTCATTCTGAGGGAAAATGAACAAGGTAGACTCCAACACAGGTTATAATTATGATGTATCTTCCTGTCATGCTGTTTTTAGTACTTCAATACCATCCCTCACAATACCTGGTTATGCTATGCACAGATCACAAAAATTAAAATAAAGCTCATGTGGATTGATGAAGCTATGATCTCCTGTTGCTCTTTTAGTTAGAATCACACTCACTTCATGTTCTTTAATTGCATCAGATGTGTTGGTTTTTCTCCTCAGGTTAACCTCATACTCCAGAAATCATCTCATTTTATTATTTATTTGCTTAGAAAGTGAAAAGTACTAGTCTTTCCAACACCCAATCTTAATTGATGGGCATCTTAATAGCTTTTAAGATTAATGGCCATGTTTCAGAAACAGCTTGAGTCAATCCTAAAAGAGTGTTGGTAGACTTGCTGGTGAGGAAGGGGGACTTTGAAATATGTGGTAATAAAAACAATGTAAAGTATAAAATAACTGACTATATTCCTGCACAGGTAATTAGAATACTAATTTGCAATCTCTTTAACTGTCTTGATGCTGATTACTTTTGCATTTTAGAGAAAATAAAATGTAGACGTTTTTCAGTGGAAATCCTCTGAAAGAAATTGCTGAGTAATTCTTATGGCAGAAAGATAGATCTGTAGCCATGTCCCCTGACACGAACATTTTAACTATAACATTAACAAGTGTTTCCTATTTTTTCAAGAAAGGAAAAAAATGTCTGTGATAATGATGTTCAAAATGCACTTTACCCCACAATATCCAAATTCATATTATATTAAAATAAGTTAGAACTGATCTCACGAGATGGATTGACACAGTGGCTACAACAATGTGCTTAGGTATAGCAAAGATTGTGGGCTGGCCAAGGACCGGGCAGTGTTTCATTCTGCTGTACATGAGGTCACTATGAGTCAGAGATGACTCGGCGGCACCTAACAAAAACAACAGTTAGAATTTTAGACTACTTTTAAAGTTTGCATAGAATGCATGTTAGGATTTTTAAATTGTCAACTCTCATTCTTAAATGGATTCTATAGTAAGATGTTCACTTTGATTTCTTTTCACATGTAGCAGTTCTTATTGAGGGAAGTCCTATTCATAATATCCTTACTGTGACAGGGATGAATGATGTCTTATGTCAAATAGTGGTATGGATCATGGCTAGAAAAGTACATATCCTGTCATATAATTTAATAGATGTAGTTAAACATATATAAAGAGAAATGATTATTGATTTCTAAATAATGTGTTATTTTTGTTGTTTTCTCTGAGCAGCTCACCCTAGATAACATAACATTTGCTTAATTGTGTGAGATAAAAGATATTTTGGTTGCTAAATGTAGTCAGAAGTCGGGAAAGTAATAAAGTGTATTAATTAAGAGAGATAAGGAAGGATATGCAAGCCATTATCTTTTATAGCACATCATACAGTTTTTAATTAAAATTTAACATATTTGAGAATTTAATTAATGTAGCAAAATGCACAAGGAAGAGAAATGTGAGGAAGTTTCATAATGTAACAAAATCTGCAAAACTGCAGAAGCAAATAATCAGCATTTATTTTTTTCCCTTAAAAAGCTGGGGGGAGGGAAACCTCTACTGTGTGTGTGTGTTTATTTTTAAGGGGGTATAGATTGAACAAATTCAAATGATTTTTTTTTTTTCCAGTAAGCAAACTCGTGTTTGTTTAAAATCTAATTTTTTGCCAATTAGCAAATTAAAACTAGCCTTTTTAGAAAACTAAAAAAAAAAAAAAAATCACTGCCATCAAGTTGATTCAACTCATAGTGACCCCTCCTTGAGTTTCTGAGGCAGTATCTCTACAGAAATAGATTGCCCAATCTGTCTTCAAAGGAATGGTTGGTGGATTTGAACTGCCAACCTTCTGGTTAGCAATCAAATGCCTTAGACACTACACCATGAGAGCTCCTAGAAAACTGAAAAAATACTTTTTAATATAAAGCTTTTTTAAAGTTTTGTATCCAGAGATTTAAGAGACAAACTCAAAGAAGCATCACTAATTGGTTGAAGATGAAATTCAAGAAACTAAAGGTGCTTTCCAAAGCTTGCATTCTTGTAGTAGTTGCAAGAAGAAACGCAGGTCCAGGTATTTGGGAAGGCCCTTGAGCTCCAGTGGAGAATCTGTTGCCGAGTCAATCTAGTTCATAGTTACTGTATACAACAGAGTAGAACTGTGCCATAGAGGTTCCAAGGCTGTAATCTTTACTGATGCAGACTGCCACATCTTTCTCCCATGGAGAGGTTGGTGGCTACAGACACACAAATTCCCTCACTTCCCCAAAAGACCTACTAGGGAAGATAGGCACTTTGTGTAGAGAATGTCCTCAAAAGAAACAGAAAGGAATTTTTGCATTGCTTGAAATCTCAAAAATCGCATATGAAATGTGATATCTCCATTTTTCTAACTTTGCATTTTCATTTAAGGCTGTAGAAGGGTATTGTAAATATTTTGTGTGTGTGTGTGAAATACCAAAATGAATGAGTTTTTCTTTTCTCATAACCTCAGAGCAAAGTAAAGCCATCTTCACTTACTTTCATAAAGTTGTTCAAGTGACTTAAGATTGACAAGTGGTGCATATTGGAAACTCAGGTCCAAAGTATTTCAGTTATGAATAGAGGAGCATATGGTTAAGATTTCCTACTGAACAGCAACAGAGCCCCTCTGAATTTACCATCATAAATTCACCTATTAGGAATTCCTGTCTTGTAATATTATGAAAAAAATAGCAGAGAGTATTCCTATATAACTGGTTGGATTAATAAACATGACACTTCGAATCTTATTCTAAGAGTACACATCCTTACTGAAAATGATATTTGTCAATGTGTGGCACATAGTGAAAACATAATTTTGCCAGGGAGATTGTCTCTCTCTCTCCTTTTTTTTTTTTTTTTTTCCTCCTTGATGTGAAATATCTTGCAATGTTTGTTTCCCATTCATCTTTTTATGCAGACCATTTTATGAGAAAATGTTTCATATGTATTTTTCACTTATCTATTTTTTTATTTTTCCTCTGTAGGTGTAATTTGGCCCCTGTGGTGGAGTTTGCTGCAGATGTGGGAACTAAATCTGATTTTATAACCATGAATCCATCAGTAGTACAAAGAGCGTTTGGAGGCTTTCGGAATGAGAGTGACAGAGAAAAATTTGTGCATAGACTTTCCATGTTGAATGACAGTGTCCTTTGGATCCCTGCTTTCATGGTCAAAGGAGGAGAGAAGCACGTGGAGTGGGTTAACGCATTAATCCTTAAGAATAAACTGAAAGTGCGAACTGCCTATCCATCATTGAGACTTATTCATGCTGTCAGAGGGTAAGTGTCGGGAAAGGGCCAATCTGTCCTTGGCACAAAGGTACATATAACTAAATATTTCCCTACACAGTAAAGAGGCTCAACAAAATCTCTAAATGAGTGTATGTTTCTGTTATTTTGTAATGGTTACTCTATCCATAAACTTGAATTTTCAATATATATCTTATTATTTTAACTTGTTCTTTTTCTTGGATAAGAAAGTTCTTGCTGAACTTGGCACTTAATTATGTCTCCTCATGAACAAATAGCTGATTTTTATATTTTACTATGCTGATATTCTGGAATATGAATAATAAATTATAGTAAAATTGATGAGTTTTTGGGAAGCAAACTACCACAGAAGTGCTAAATAGCTAGTGGGTGATATTGTGGAAGCATAAATGTTGGATGTATTCAAGGAGCAATTCAGTTGCATCTGTAGAAAAGAGGCCTGCTTGTGGGAGAAGTCTACCTGACATAATAGGTCTTGATGCTATTCCTCAAACTACAGATACCTTTTTTTATGAATTTAGTCAGCATTTCCCTTTGGTTAATATGAAGTCAGAAGAAAAAGCTAAGAAATAAATTCCTGTTTAAAAGTAAAAAATGATGAAAGGTCAAAAGCCATTCTTATGTTAATAAAGGTGTGTGATGTATATAATGCAATACAATGCACTGCGGTCGAGTCATATCTGACTCATAGTGACCCCTCCTTGGGTTTCCAAGGCGGTATCACTATGGAAGTAGATTGCCCAATCTTCCTTCCGAGGAGTGACCAAAACCAACCTCACTGCCATCAAATCTATTCCAACTCATAGAGAATCCATTGAAATTCTGAAGCTGTAAATATTTACGGAAGTAGATTGCCCCATCTTCCTTCCATGGTGCAGTTGGTGGGTTTTAACCACCAACCTTCTGGTTAGCCATCAGATGCCTTAGGCGCTGCCCCACATATAGGCAATTATGAACATTTATTGAATTTCTTCTGAGTCCCAGATACTGTAAATACAAAAATGAGGACCAAAATCAAACCAAACTCACTACCATTGACTCAATTCTGACTCATAGTGACCCCCTTTGGGTTTCTGAGGCAGTAAATCTTTGAGAAAGTAGATTGTCCAGGCTTCCTTTCACGGAGTAGCTGATGAGTTTGAAACACCAGGTCTAAGGCACTACACCACCAAAGCTCCTTACAAAAATGAGGAGGAGATGACCAAAACCTTGAAGGAATACATAAGCTTTATGGCAGAAACAGAGATTTATAATTAGCTAATGACAAAAACAAATGATAAGGGAACAGATTGTAAGGAATATGTAATTTTTCCCTGAGGTTCTCTAAGTAGGTTTAAAAGTGTATCTAACATTTGATGTAAACTTTAACAACAACAGAACAGCAATTGTACTGGGGAGTGGGGAGTGGAGAGAGAGAAAAAGCAAGGAAAACAAAAGGATAAACAAATAGATGAAATTGTTACTGCATCATAAAAGGGAACTCAGGCAAGGAAATTATTAAATACATGGTAAATTTGTAGAATAATAGAGACCATCCTGGAGCATTAGAATATCAAGTCTAGTTGGGAAGGTAATCAATTTTATCTTATATAGATAAATACCTGAATTTGGGAGAATAAGTTTTGTTAAATGCTCAGGCTTTACATTGGCAAGAAGAGGTGTGAGAGATTTAGGATCTTTGATTAATTTACTCATAAAATGATAACAGTAGGAGGTCTGGCGGTTCAAACCCACCAGCCACTCCTTGGAAGGAAGATGGAGCAATCTATTTTCGTAGTGATACCGCCTCGGAAACCAAAGGAGGGGTCGCTATCAGTCGGGTCTGACTCAACGGCACATAACAACAACAACAACAACAACAAGATAACAATGAGATGCAGAAGAAATAGACATGGAAAGGAATGGAAAATCTAGGAAATCAATTAAAATCAAAGGCTAAAACATCTAGACAAGAAAGGTTTTCCAAGTCCATAATTAAAAATAGATTGCTTCATAGACTATAATAGGGAATGAGGCAAGGTGTTTTTCTTTAAAAAAAAAAAAAAAAAATGTTTTCTCATTGAGGTACTTTCCTTCAAGAATTTACCATACCCTTGTTTAAGTCTCTAGACAGTCTTGGATTATGGTACTCTGCGCACAATTAAGGTGCAATTGTCTTCTTGTTGTTGGGGGCTGTCGAGTTAATTACAATTTATAGTGACCATATAGGGCAGAGCAGAACTTCTTCATAAGGTTTCCAAGGCTGTAGTCTTTACAGAAGCAGACTGTCACATCATTCTTGGCAGAGCAAGTAGCATACTGGTTTGGGATGGCAACTTTTAATGGCAGTTCTGAAGAAGCCCCACATGACACACACATATATATA